CTCTCTCTCTCTCTCTCAGAAGTGTTAAATATAACAAGTAAGCGTATGAATGATTACTGAACAGCTGGTATTGTTGACGATTGGTAGATGTAACGATTCTTTTTTTCTGTACATATTTTCTTTCACGTTTAACAGCTTGGAATCTGGAAAATAGGTCATTGCGTCCCCAAACTCTCCCCTCTTCTCCCTCCCCGCATCTTCCTTCCAATTCGCAACAAATTGCTTTATCAGTTCATTTAACATGGCCTCAATAGGAAAAAGAAATTTTACCTCTCTACACTGGTTCAACAATCTTTTTTCTTGCCTTTTTAATGTATGTGTTTTACGCCCCCATCGTTACAATTTAAGTCATTTTGGAGGAGGACTTCGACTCTATCTGTCAGTCATGCCAATTTGTGATGAGAGGAATACAACATCCGAGCAGAGAAACTGAAATATCCGATAAAATTTTTTAAAACACACAACAGTTGGAACTGAATTCGGGTCTCCTGCGTGACACAGCGAAACGCCTAACTGCTACACCTCAATATTGAGCTGGTGGTTTGAATCTTTACCTATCGCAGTGTTTTGTAGTCTCAAAAAGGCGCCGTAACTCTTTCAATGCCTTGCCCGAGACGCCATGTGCTCTTTGTTATGATTATACCATAGGTCTGACAATGATGAGGTTAATCCAGTATCATAATAGTAATAATTGAACGTGCTTTTAAGTCCCAAACAATACTCTTTAGACTATTAAGGAGGTGAACTGCTTCTACCATATAATAATGTCAAAACGTGGTGGAAAAAACGTTCTCGCCACACTGAAATGCAGTCAGATTTCTCTTTAACAAAACCAGAAGAATCAATACTTTTCACATTAACAGCTCAACTAAGATGGATATTGGAACTAATTATCGGTTGTGTAATGTTACCGGAACGTTTACAAGGGTTTAGAGGGTGAAGAGAACGTACGTCGGGCAAAACTACCTACACCTACGGTAATATCCATTTGGCATTCAAGGAATACGTAATTATTTTTTAAACTGTTATCATTAACCCTTCCAACGCTAGACGGACTTTGTAACCTAACCTTGGCCTGAAATAATTGCAGGCAAGGATGTAACGGTGTTAATCACAAACGTGATTTGGGAGAATGAGATAGACAACGATTTCTACAAAGTGGAAAACATAATATAATACAAGGACAGACAGGAAGAGGAGGAAAATGGGGAGGAGGAGAAGGAAGAGGATGAGGAGGAGAGCAGAAGAGGAGGAGAAGAAAGGAGGAGGAGGAGACATTTTTTGGACTGCCACAAATGGACAAAACTTTACTTTTTTTAAAAAATGTAAAATAAGGCAGGAGAACCTTTCGCTCAATATGAAGAACGTGAATACCGCGTGAACCAACATTTGTGTCACGATATAGTGGAATCAGGCGCGGGTCAATTGTTTAGTTTAGTTTTCGTAGAGTTTTTACGGCGCACGAAACAGTTCAGGCACAATTATGAGCATGACATTGATGAATCAGCCCATATACAGTTCTACTGTGCATTAGAACATGTTAATGTCCCCACTTTCGGAATGGCCCAAAGACCCTTCAGTCAGTAACATCGCCGGGGCTCATCAATTTAGGGGCAGGTGAAGTTATTGGTATCACCTTAAAGTTAAAGCGTGTTCATTTGCTTTGCATGTGATGAAAGAATTACCCATTTACAAAGAGCACATGTCGAGACAATTGCGGTTGAATGAGGTGGGGTCGTCTGGTTCAGAGGTAAAATTAGTGAGAAATGGCCGCCAAAGTTTTGTTATTTATTACAAAACATCAGAGTCCGTGGAAACTGACCATTTACTTTTTTTTTTTTTACCTTTAATCAACGTTTTTCAATATAATTCACACTGAAATGGGTTCATAAATGGACATAGAATGTGTTGAGCTAAAAAAAAACAACAACCCCAAAAATGTCGATAAAAATTGCCAAAACAGCGGAAAAGTGTACATTTCTTACCTTCAATACTTTCATTACTTTGGCGAGCGCCTGATTTCACCACGCTGCCTCACATTTATTATTTGCATTAGTTTGATTAAAACAAAGCATATCGACACAATAATGGCCATGCCATGAGGGGGTAAATAAGACAGACGTGCAGAAACAACAAAGGGAAAAGAACAGAAGTAGGACCTACAAGTCAGGGGCGCCCTTTAATCACATGTTTTCTTAAGAAAAGCAACATTTTAAGTCAGCTCATACAAACACAATTTTAAGAAAAAAACCGTTAAGTGACCAAAAGACGACAGCACACAAACAACAAGACAGGCAGCTGTCACATGACCAGCCATCAGGGCCGGTAACTAACCTGACAAGATTACGTTTTATAATCTCCCCTTGCCTCTTCTGGGTGACACTTCCTTTTCCGGAGCGCCCTAATTAATCTTCCCAATGCGCCCCAGGCAGACAACTTATGAATTTGTGTGTCGTCTCCTTTCAACTTTTGAGGTAAACAACACTAGCAGGTCGTCTCCTTTTAGGCTTTTCTAATATTATAGCTCAGGGCTTTCTCGGATATCATTTTAACATGGGGACAGTTTTAACCTCTCTGCTTTTATGTCTCCACCTCATGGTTCATCTCATGTTACATTTCTGAAAGGTCTTTTTTTTTTGGTGTTGCTAAAGGCAGGAGGCTGACATTAACTAATTGAATTATCTAATTACCAACAGTGCTACTGTCTATTCTAAATGTGTTCAGAGGGAGGGGAGGTACAGAAAGGGGGAACGTAGAGGAAAGAGAAGAGAGAGAGAGAGAGAGAGAGAGAGAGAGAGAGAGAGAGAGAGAGACAGACAGACAGACAGACAGACAGACAGACAGACAGACAGACAGACAGATAAACAGACAGAAAGAGAGAGAGAGAGAGAGAGAGAGAGAGAGAGAGAGAGAGAGAGAGAGAGAGAGAGAGAGAGAATTTATTGGTGCTTGAAGAAGAAGAAGAAGAAGAAGAAGAAGAAGAAGAAAAAGAAGAAGAAGAAGAAGAAGAAGAAGAAGAAGAAGAAGAAGAAGAAGAAGAAGAAGAAGAAGAAGAAGAAGAAGAAGAAGAAGAAGAACAACAACAACAACAACAACAACAACAACAACAACAACAACAACAATATCAAGAAAAAAATAAGAACTAAACAACGAGAAAGAGAGGAACTCACATGATAACAAATTGATTGTGGTTATCCATATCCAGAGTAATGGCCGCTCCGCGAAGCTCCACATATCCAAGGGGCGGTTTACTCCGGGCATCTTCCTCACTCTTGTAGTAGAGTAACTTCCCCTGGCTCTCTTCCAGAATGCACCAGAGGCGTTTCCTGGCTTTGAGGATGCTAAGGCCTGAGCAGACAAGATACAGGGAAATGTGTTAAAGGAATTCAGACATTTTTAAAAAGTATAAATAAAGAAAAATAGTTGTGTGAAGCCAGGCGACATCTTGGTTTGATTGATTGATTGATTGAGTCGGTGTTTTACGGCACTATCGACTCAATTTTGGTCATGTAAGTGGACGTCTAGGGGTGGGGACAGAAGTAGGAGATGTATTCACAGCAAGATGGCTGGTGTGTGTGGTGTAGCAGTTGGGCGCTTTGCTGTTGCACGTAGGAGACGCGGGTTCAATTCCCGAGTAGGGAGAAAATGTTCTCGAGTATCTCGATCTTTCTAATGGAAAGCTGCATCCTTCTCAGCCGGGGTCGGTTCTAACAAGCAGGGTGGGAAGCCTGCTTCCTAAATTATCTAAATTCGGCTGGCTCTTTCAAGCAGGGTGAAAGCCCGCTTCTTAAATGATCTAAATCGTGCCAATTGCATTTAAACAACATCGTAGGTTGATTATAATCTCCTTTCCCACTCCTCCAACCACCCCCACTCCTTTCTCCCAAATGTATTCACACAATGCAACGATCACGAAATATTGTATAGGTTGATCACTACCTTGTTGTGGTTAGAGAGCTTGTGTGCCCCAGTGACCCCAAGAGCTATGCTGGCTGGAGCTTATGCTCCTGGTAGGGCCACCCATGCCAGACAGGTCGACAGGTAGAGGTCAGACGAAGCGTGATCCACCGGCCCTACAGGTTCCGGAGGTTCAGTTCAGGGCTAACAACCCAGACTGGTAAAAAGCATATGTTACGGAAACAGCAACAAAGAGAAACCATATTTCTGTGTGTGATGGACCTTCAGAGTCCCATGGGACTCGTATGAATGCTGGCAGTGAAAGCTGCAAGGAAGCTGTTTGCAGGAAGGTGGAGGACCTGAACACCGCAAAGATAAAAGTTATCATAGGACTGTGGAATGTAAGGACAATGTATTAAAGCTGTATAACAGCTGTGTACTATCCACACTCCTATATGGAGCTGAATGCTTGAGGATGACAGATCATGACCGTGCCAAGCTATCTTCCTTTCATACAACCAGCTTACGCCAAATCCTCAGAATCCTCTGGCCCGACAAGATCTTCAACGCAGATCTGTTACATAAATGTAAGCAAGAGGACATAACCACCATAATAAAAAGGAGAAGACTGAGATGGATTGGACATGTTCTGAGAAGAGAACCAGACTCTATTGTGAAGACTGCCCTCCGCTGGACACCCGAAGGACGTCGCAAAAGGGGCAGACCCAAAGTAACCTGGAGACGCACAGTAGAGTCTGAAATGAAGTCCTGGAATCATTCGTGGGGAACACTGACCAAGATTGCCCAAAACAGAGAGAGCTGGTGATCCTTTGTTGCTGCCCTAAACGCCAGATGGCGTAATGAGTAGTAAGTAAGTAAGTAAGTGACACAATATAAATCATTATTTAGGAGATGGGCTGCTTCGACCTGTCACAACCAACCCATACAGAGCAGTATGCAACATCCCAACATGCAAATGAGGATTCTCAATAAAAACCTTCCCCACTCGGGAATCGAACTCAAGACTTTTCTGCCTGCAATTGCAAAGAGCCTAACCGCCACACCACATCACAAACACCAACTTCCCATAAAACCACAATAAAAAGAACTTTATTAACATAATTTATGATGGAATATTTTCCTCCTCATTACTTATTGTAACTTTCACGTGGCTCAACTTACTACGATCACACGATCACAAGGGTATAGAAATAAGGTATTCTGTACTCTATTAATAACTAGATCTAACGAAACGAGATATTTGCGGACTAGTGTTCAGACTTCAAAGCTAAAAATAATACAACTATTAGTCTTTTGTTAACAAAAATAGCACGACTAAAAACAGTACACCACAAAAGAGTTTGTCAGCTACTATATCTGAGAACAAATTACGGACGGGGGTCATAATCAGCTGTTCAGGAAATGATGCATCGAGTCGATTTACTCTGAGCTGACATTACATAAATCATTCAAGGATACCTCAACCCGAGGGATAGATCATGCTGACACTGTGTTTTGTTGTTGTTGATGTTGTTGTTGTTGTTGGTGGTGGTGGTGGCGGTGGTGTGGTTGTAGTTGCTGTTGTTGATTGTTTTTTGTTGCTGTTGGTAGTGGTGGTGTTGATTGTAATTGTTGCTGATTGTTGTTGATTGTTGTTGTTGTTTTTTCTTGTAGTTGTTGCTGATAACAGCGTGCCCTTGTATGTGTGCATATGTATGTGTGTTTGCACGTCTGTTTGTAAGTGGGCGGATGTGTGTGATGGTGTGTGTCTGTGTGTTACATCTTTGTGTGTGTGTGAGTGTGTGTGTCTGCGCGTGCGTGTGTTTGAGTGCGTATGTGACTTTGTTATGTCCGTGCGTGCATAAGGTGTGTGTGGGCGTTTGGGTGCGCGTGCAAGCCATTGTGTGTGTGTGTGTGTGTGTGTGTGTGTGTGTGTGTGTGTGTGTGTGTGCGTCTGTGTTAGTGTGTTCATTCATGCGCGTGCTCATTTCCGTGTGATGTACTGCTGACAATGTGATACTATGCAAATTAAGTACCGTATACGCCTCGGCTACGTGTTCGGCATTCTTGTAGAATTACGACACAAGACCTACCCTCCCCCCTCCCTGCCCCCTCAATCTTCTCAACTGCCCAACCCACAAATTGGGACTGCAGCATAATACATGAGGTATACGGTGTCAGGAAACCAAACGAAGATCAAAAGTTGTGGTTTGATCTATGTGACAGTCCATTAAAGTCACCTCGAGGTTACAGGTGTTGCACCACAGTCTTTCTCGCCAAAAGTTGCTCCATTTGGCAAGAGTACCTTTGTAGAGTGCAATTCCCCTC